AAAAATCAAACAAATAACATATACGACTAAGAATAGACAATGTTTTCCATCTTCAACGTTCACAGTTTCACTGGTACAAGTACTGTATGAATTAGACGACATCATCTGTAACATCACAGTACTTGTTCTGTGATGCTGAGAAACTTTGACTTCTACTGAAACCTCAGATATGAATAAAATACATGTACTGCAATTGTATTTTTCTTCATTTCTAGATATGGTTTTAACCGTTCACTCTTATCAAACTTTGAAAAACTGATTAAAACTATTAAGTATATTTATTATAGTACAAGTATATGGGAAAAGTAAAATCATATAATTTTGTTTATTTTATGGCTTCATGACTTTGGATAGAATATTTATAATTTGACTTCAATGAAACCATTTAACATGTAGACTTATATTTAAGACATTTTGCACAAGGATCTCTTTATTTTGTAAAAGTAACATTTTTATCTATAGTTTTTCTATGTATATTAGATACTTTTGTATTTGAACCAATTATTTGCATGTTTTAAGGTTGACAAAACAGTTGATGAAGAAAACCAGTGGAAGCAGTTAGGTAGTGACAAAGTCATTAACATTGAAAAAGACTGGCAAAATGGTCATTATACAATAACAGGATTAGAACCCAATTCCAACTACAAGGTGGAACTGAGAGCCAAGAATGAGATTGGATTCAGTAAGCATGAAATGATGATATTTCAAACTGCTCAAGGTAAGAATTCATAAAGACATTAACAGTTATTAAAATACAATGCATCAGTTAGTACTTTGAAATAGTAGTTTTTAATTGTGTGTGTGTGTGTGTGTATATGTATATATATCCTCAAGAGTAGTTACACAACTTTAAATATATTCAAGTTCAACTTTTTGGAGGTTTGGATTATAGCTTGTTTCAAAAGCTCATTTAAAGCAGTTAACGTAGCATATTACCAATATTTGAAATTCCCTGATATTCAGTACAATGTTATTTATAAAGTTTCTAAATTATATGAAATATTTTGTTTTTGGAAGATTAAT